CCTCTTGCAAAATTGTAAATTTTATGGCCCCAGGGTCAGGGGTTCTGGTGTTAGGGCGGGGTTCTATTGATTACTGCTGCTGGGTATTAAATAAACTAAATAAGTACATATTTATGATGGGGAAGAGTGCCTCTTCCAAAATTGTGAATTTTATAGCCCAAGGGTCAGGGATTTTTGTTTTAGGGCGGGGTTCTATTGATTATATAGTGAAAATGCATTGATTATTTGAAAGTTTTCTTCTCTGCTCCTGGGTATTAAATAAACTAACTAAGTACATAGTTATGATGGGCAAGAGTGCCTCTTCCAAAATTGTAAATTTCATGGCCCCAGGGTCAGGGTTCTGGTGTTAGGGTGGTGCTCTATTCATTATATATAAACTAAATAAGTACATAGTTATGATGGGGAAGAATGCCTCTTCCAGAATTGTAAATTTCATCGCCCCAGGGTCAGGGGTTCTGGTGTTAGGGTGGGACTCTATTGATTATATATAAACTAAATAAGTACATAGTTATGATCGGGAAGAATGCTTCTTCCAAAATTGTGAATTTCATGGCCCCAGGGTCTGGGGTTCTAGTGTTGGGGGGATCTATTGATTACATAGTGAAAATGAATTAATTCTTTGAAAATCTTCTTCTCTGCTCCTGGGTATTAAAAAAACTAATTAAGTACAAAGTTATGATAAGCAAGAATGCTTCTACCAAAATTGTGAATTTCATGGCCCTAGGGTCAGGGGTTCTGGTGGTAGGCCGGGGCTCTAAATGATTCTGTAGTGAAAATATATTAAATCTTTGAAAATTTTCTTCTGTGCTACCCCTGGTTATTAAGCAAATGAACTACCTATAATATATTTATGATGAGCAAGGGCCCTTTCTCCAGAATTGTGAATTTCAAGGCCCTAGGGTCAGGGGAACCGGGGGAGGGGCTCTACTTATATATTTAAAATAAACTGATTGTTTGAAATTTGCTCCTCTGTATAAATCAAACATTATTTTTTTTAGCAAGGGTGCCTTTTTAAAAAATGTGCAAAGTGTGGACCTAGGGTCAGGGGTTTATGTCACAATGTTAGGGGCACTACTGATTATTGCTGAATATTATTGATTAGTTGAAATGCATTTTTGTTCCCGTACCCTGCCTATGGGTATTAAGTAACCAAACTAAGCAATTGCTAAGTGTATAAGTCTGGGAAATAAATGTTGAAAGAAAAAGTGTATAGTTATGATGAGCAATGGTGCCTCTTTCAAAATTGTGAATGCTATAGCATCTAGCTTAAAACATGAAGCAAATTCAATCACTTGAAATTGTTGCATTATGCTCAGGTGACCTATAAGGCCAATGGGCCTCTTGTTAGAATATGGGCCATAACTCAAGAACTCATTGGCCAATTATTGTCAAATTTGTCACAGGGTATCCTTGGCTAAAGGGCTACCACTTTTTTTTTAAACTAGGGTTGGGACCCTTAAACAAGGGGAGATAATCAGGAAAATAAAACCAAAGTACTGGTTGCTAAAAATCTTCTTCTCCAGAGCCACCATGCAGATTTTCACCAATTTTACATACATGTACAAGGATCAGAATATGTTTGAGATTAAGATTTGCACTGTTTATTAGGGCAAAGGGCGTGGTCTCGACCTTGCAGATATATAATACCTGATAATGTTTACCAGTTATCCAAGTATCTTTTGCATGGTTCTAATATGAATAAATTGCAATGATCGCCTCCAATCAATTATTGAAGTACATTCATGTTTTCTTTTATTTAAAAAAGTTCAAAATTGACATTGTTCCACGTCCATGTGCTTCCAACACCTCAAAATTTTACCTGTGTAGGTGAGTTAGAAATCAATGCTATTGCGCATGCATGCTTGAGTGACTTCAAAATCAAATACAGGCATAGACCAAAGGAAAAAAATATCACATTTATATATTTTAATGACAAGCAAGCACAGGCGCCAATGCATTCCCACATACAATTCCACTGAAATATGTATTTCCAAAATTTTCTCATTTTACAGTATTACTTATCGTTCTATATGATGTCTTGTTTTACCTAATTTACAGTTTATATAGAATGTACTGCAGAAGCAAGGTACATGTACTTGTATGAATCTCTTTTGTAAATTTTAGGGGTCTGCAATGGAGCTTCAAGAAAGAGTTGTTCAAGCCATAAAGCAAGTGGATGACAAGTTTTACTGTGAAGACATGGCAAATTTTGACGACAATGAGAGAAACCATCTCCTTAACTTATACAGAGAAACAATGCTGAAAGGATATAATTTTGGATTTGAAGTAAAGTCTCATATAGTCTTATCACAGACACTTCTCTATGAAAGCAGGATAATAAAGAGAGTAATTCATGCAAACCTTGTAAAATTTTATGTAAATATTCAACTATTTAGCATTTTTTGTAAGTCCCAGTATTATGTTGTAATAAGCTGTATTGCAGAGAAAAGGGAACAAAGTTTTAAAAAGTTAAAATCTTGGCTTTACCTTAGCCTTTTGTTTGTTTTAAAACATCCTGTCAATAAGTGTCCAAGACTGTCTTATTTAGGTGCTGCTGAATTTTATCTATGCTTAATAGGGCATTTCAAACCATAGGTACCAACAATTGATAAGTCGTCAAAAGATAATCATTATTGCAACTGAATATTTTTAAATTTTTAACTACAGTATCTTAGAGAAGTAACAAGACTTGTAACTGGAGAAACTAAGCAAAAACTCAGCAAAAGACTTGTTAATTTTGCCAAAGAGTGGATGGCATTTGTAACTGAAAAATGTGAAAAGGGAAGAGGTATGCGCCCAAAGTAAGTATCCGAAATTTGGAAGGTTTCACATAAATATAGCCCAAGTTGCGAAGATTAATATTGTCATAGGTAAATTGTTCAAAGCATCACCCTTATGGGTGAAGAGTATGCCCTCATTGACTTAAGGATACATGTATCTAAAATGGAGTTTGAAAAATAACCATAGATAAATACACCTTATTTCTTTGAGAATTCAGTGACATTTTTATAAGCATTTCAATTATTCAATTGCTGGGACTACTTTCAATCAATTTTAAAACCTATATATTTTGCACACCATATTAAGGAAATTAAGGCAGTCAGTTGGCGCATTTTAGGACTTCATTTCTTGCTGACTCAAAAGAACGTTATGATGAAATTCTTTATAAATTTTGCAGGCATTCATTGTCAAAATGATCAGCTAATGCATCATGGGGCTGTAAAGTGTGTCAACAAAAAGTAGGTCACTATGAAAAAACTTGTAGTGACTATTTGATTTTTGCAGGTTTAATATTTGTTTCAATTTATGCCATATTGATTCTGAATAACAACTGTAACTTGTCTATTAAAACCATGGCCAAAAAATAGTGATTATGTCATGCAGGGATTATTTTTCCCTTTACAGCAATGGCTACTGACAGTCATAAAATATTCTTTAAAAGTATTACAATTATTTATTTGAAAGACTGAAATGGGTGTTTACCAGTTATTTTATCATCACAACCACTGGGTTATGTTCACATACATTTGATACAACCTACCGTCCTTTATTAGACGGGGTTGGCCTGGCAGCCAGTCGGGTGTTTTTTTTTCATATCACAGTTTCACGAGGTCCAGAATCATCAAACCAAGTCAGCTAATCATGTAATAGAAAAATTAATCTCTTATTGGGTGACAAGAAAGCTATTGCTATGGACTCCTAATCTTGGCCATGCATCTTTTTAAAGTTTTACTGCAGAAGTTGACTTTAGTTGATTTATCCAGAAAATAAAGCTTTTTCATCTAAAGTATGAATGGTTCTTTTTTTTGTCTTTGCCTGTTCTCTGGCCCCAAGACCATAGACTGAGAACAGACTTAATTTAAGTCAAAATTTCAAACCAGTATAACTTTTGAATAATTTGATAATCAGTCAAAATTTTGATCATATGTTTGAATTTACCTGTTATACAGAACTGCAAATTTTCAAGCAAATACATACAATAAAACTGAAGATATCAAAAATCAAAATTTTGACTTGACTTTAACAAGTTCTCAGTTTATGGTGTTGGGACCTGATTTTACAACAAAGAGAATATTATTAATTTGTTGTTAACTAGACAGCATGTCATGTAGAGATATTTTGTGAACGTATTTGAAAAAGTGAAGAGATTGACCTGGGATTTTCTTTCTGGTCCTGTATCAAATTCAAGGATAGTTTGGGTTCACAACATGAAAAAGGTTAACCAGTTAAACCTCCACAAAAGTAATCTAATACTGTAAACGTGGAAATTTTGACGATGTGCTAATTTTGACTATATTGACGATTTTTCTTTTCTCGTCAAAATTTACACTCGTCAAACTTCACATCATATATATAGCGTCTCAACAGACATTGACCGCTGTCAGTGTCATTACCGCTTTATTTTCTCGGCTTTCCCTATTAAAACTAGATCAAAGTTACTGTTAATTTCCCTTGTAATTAGTTATGAAAACATAGTGATATATAAACAATTTTTTTCAAAGTATTGAATCTATCAAATACCGCATGTGTAATATAACGTAATTATCATGCGGTGCTTGACCTAGTTTGTCACCTCAGGCAATTGACCACTTGTAATGAAAACAAAATACATGAAGACAATTTATTTAATCAAATCTTACACACTTAGATAGTTTGTACAATCTTACACACCGTAGATGGTCTTTACAAAAATTAATTTTTAGTGATTCTGACGCCACCTTTGTATCCCGATTTATACCTCTTGGTTTAAATATTTCGTCAAAATTAACACTCGTCAATTTTCGTAAACAAAAAATCATCAATTTTTCAACTCGTCAATATAACCACGTTTACAGTACATGTATTAAATAACTTCATTTATTTAGTCTCAGCAGTAAAAAAAATTCTCTTTTAAGATGGGCTAGTCAAGGACTGGATTTTCTTATTGTTGCATGTGATTCCAAAGTTCTTGCCTGTCTGACTGATGAAGAATATCAGGCAAGTTTTAGCACCAAATGCAAAATTTAGTTTTCACAATATCAGTTTTTGGATTCAATATAATATGCTTCTTAATTATAAATCAGGAGCTGAAGAAAAGCATCAACAGCTGTATCAGCCATGTGATAGGGTCAGCAATTTCAAAGTCAGCCCCACCCACAGTCA